CTTGAAAAAATTCTGCGTACGCCACTGCACTGTTGTATCTATTGTTATCAGATAGATATCACTGATGTACTTATTGTCAGTAGATAGAAACTCTCCTGTATCTATTTTCAATAGATAATACCACATGCATTTTTATATATATCTTTAACTCTTCTTCTCGTGTATTTATTCAGTTCTATCTATCATTTATCTATTATCTTAGTGTAAGAATGAAGTAGATGCAAAGTTTTTAAATATATTTTTTGCTATGGATAGTATAGCTATTTCGAATAGTGCAATAACCCTATCTATAAATTAATTAAATTATTTATAAATTAATTAACCCTATCTATAAATTAATTAACCCTTGCATAAATATAACAAAAGTCCTTTTTTTGTATTGTAAATAATGTGAGAAAAACTACATTAATATATTTTCTTTTTTATTTTCATTTGGCTTTCATTAGGGATTAATGAATCTGGACTAACCTTTTAGCATCCAGCTACCTTATCAATTAAATAGTTTGAAATATCATATGCTAACTTAGTTTGAAAGTAAGTAAAATAAACACAATTTGAGGTGGAAAATGTGCTATTTTCTGCATTGGTAATGAAATAGCAAAACATTTTGAAAAGCGAAACATTGTGTTCAAATTATTCGAAATTTTGTTGCAAGATTATTTTGGTTGCAATCTGTTGAAGAAAAACACAATGTCTAGTTTTTTGTCAGTTGTTGACTCAGTTCAGTGTGCCGCATTTTTGTGGGGGTTGAAAATTGTTCTCAAAATTTTTTACAATACATTTCAATGCATTTAAATTGTTTCAATTATTTCAATACATTTAAATTGTTCTCAAAAGCTTAAAGAATTTCTTCCATTTACTTAATATTGAAAACAGGGTACATTTTTATTTAATTTCTTATTTTGTTTATAACTTAGAATTTCCATACATTTTTTTTTCTTCATTTGTCTGAAATATTTTAGGGACTTTTTGAGATTTCTAATTATTGAGGGGACATATACCAACTGTACTCCACGCCAAGAATTACTTAACAAAGAGTTATTCTGTTTCGTCATTTTTGATTTTTGTCATTTAGTGATTGTGATGATGATTTGTTTTTCATGATTAAAATGGGTTTGTCATTCAGCATTTATGTTTAGATTGCATCTTTTATAATTATTTATAAACTGTTTATCGAAATAAAACAAAATCGTTTACCACCATTTATTATTTAAATTTTTTCTTGGTTTTTTCAGGTATCAAGGCTATCTTGAACACTTCATAATGAAACTGGGCACTTATGGCAGAAGCTATTATGTTAGATTTTATGTGTACCTTTGGTGAGAAATTTATTTATACATAGTATGTCAATTAATTTGCACGTGATAGTAAATTAATGTCAAATAGTGACTTGACTTTTTCATGATCATTTTATATGTGCTTTATTACTATAAAAATTATTAGAATTTCTTTACTGATATCCTTATTGCTAGAGAACTTCTAGATCTAATACAGTATTAGGGGTAAGCACTTAACCATCAGCTTATTTTTGTTAATAAGGAAGGATATGAATAAGAATGAAGCAATACACTGTTATGACCAGGTTGGGATTTTGGACCTCCTAAACTGGTTTTGGACAGGACACATAGGTTTTACTTTCTTAAAGTGTGTTACCCATGTTCAAAACCTTGAACATTGGTAAAAGGTAAAAATTTTATATGTATAACCATTTTACACATAATAATTATATATATTAATAAATATTTAATACTTTTTATACAATTTACTTTAAATTATTAAAGGAAAATAATATAATATAGTAGGAAAAGACCAATGATTTTTGAACCTGCACAATTCATTGATTAACAAAAGTGAATATCTTATCCATTAAATCTACCTTTAATACTGAACAAATTATGTTTCTTGCATAAGGATAAATAATGCAATATTAAAAATTATAATAAACTTTTTTAATAAAACAAAAACTTGTCTTCATTTTGCTTCTTGTTCAAAAATTAACCTTTTATTTTTGAAATTTTTTTTTTAAATTGTGACATAATTTGAACAAAAATGTCTCGGACAAATTGAACAAAGGGGTTTTGGACAGGGCGGTTTAAACCGTGGATTAATCCATTCTGTCCTAAACCTTGCCAACTTTGGTTATATGTAATAATCATCAAGTTTTATGGGGAAAGAATCTTTTGTAAATAGAGAGGAAAGGTGGTTCAAAATCTAAGCAAAGGATTATTTAGAAGTTTGATTATAAATTATAACAATTTTCTTTAAAAAATTAACTTAAATAGTTTATATAGTAATAAGAAAAGAAATTAACAACTTAAAGTATTTCAAAGATAATTAAAAAAATTTTAGCATTAAATTAGTTTAAAACTTGTTGCCAAATTTAACTCAAAATCTTTGTTATCAATATTTTGTAAATGAACAGGTTTAAGAATTTAAGATGAGTGTTAAATTTTTAGTAACTAGTCCCATTTTTTATAGAACTGGTAAACCTATACTTATATGAATAGTTGGTTATAACTAGGGCTGCAAGTTTGTCGCGGGAAAAAAGACCCCAAATTCGCGGGAAATTTTGAAATTACACAAATTCTAAACATAAAAAATTTATTATATAAATGATGCAAATGACAGAAATTGCGCAAATAATTAAAAAAAGCTTAAAAATACACAACAAAAGTATTTCTTTGAATTTCAAACAATATTAATATTTTTATTTAAATGAACAGAATTTTGGTACAAAGTATTGTACATTGTTAGATTATTCTCATTTATCCTTCGTCTTTCATCACTTAATACATTTTTATACTTAGAAAACGATCTTTCTGCGTCAACGCTGTTTTTAGGCAGCGACAAACTTTGAATTGCCAATTTTGGAGCGTTCGGTCTTTGATTTCCAAAACTCGATCAATTTTCCTTCACCAACGCGCAATTTCTTGACTGTTGCTTTGTAAGAAGTAATTGCTGTGAAAACTCAAACATTCTACATTCAAACTACTAGTTACAAGTCCCTACTAACTACCAGCCCCCCTTCATCTAAGAAACTGATCCATATTTAGGAAATCACAAGAGGCCGCCTAGGAAAAATTAACTGGATATGTAGAAAGGCAGTAGAAATTTCATTGCCCAGTGCAATAGCATGTATAACAATTTTTCTGTCAAAGATTTGATTTATAACATTTTCCTTCTTTTGTGATTCCAATTTCTTTTTTACTCTTACAGACTTCAGGAAGGCAGTTACCCTCCCTAAGTGTAGAAAGACCACCTTAGTTGACAAGATTGTGATTATCTCTTATCTCTAAACTATTTTCATGTCATTTTGCTATTGATTCACTCCCCTAAATATCTAATCAATTTTACATGTTCAATTTAAGGTTCAGGAAAATAAAAAATTCTGTTTAATAAAAATAATAAATAAAATATGAAAAAAAAAATCACATTTTAAGCAATTTTCGCGCAAGTCAAGACATATTGAGAAATTCGCGGATTTTAGGAAAAAAGATGACAATTTCGCGGAAATTCGCGCCGCAACAAACCTGCAACCCTAGCTATGACCAATATGCATGTAGATGGCTAACCCACACATTGTGAAATAAATAGAAAATAGGTTAAATTTTTTCATGTGAGTTACAATTTTTTATGCACTATGGTTACATTAAACCTAGTCATTGTTAAACTTAACCTCATATTGAAAGTAAAATACAAAATGCCACACATGTTGAATTTTTCTAGAAAACCAGTTGCGTGCTTCTTTTACATGTTTTATTACCAAATACACTATGCACTATTACCAAAATGAAACATGATGCTTTTTATGCCTAATAATGAGATATATTCCATTGTAGAAGTAGTATCAAAATATTCTTATTAAAGATATTTAGTCTCATCATTAGTTAAGTTTAAATTAATAATTTTTTTTTATTTAATGCATTTTAGAATTGATAATCTTTGTAAGTTATTTTTGTAATTTATTTTTAGCTTGTCTATTCCATGTTTTTTTCTTCTGCCAACAATTTTTGGTGGAGCATGTGTTATGACAGGCTCATTGGTCTATTTAAAAGTAAGTTTGCTAGAATTCATACTTGTTTTATAAATTTGAAACAATTGTAAATTCCTATAATTTTTTTACAGATGTTTTCATTGAGAAAAAACCTTTCCCAATATTAATATGTTGCCTTTTTTTCTTGAAAATTGTTTAAATATTAATCCTTATTATTTAACAAAGTAAACTCTAAATGATAATTAGGGAGAAATGTTCTGTTAGTATCTTTACATAAATTAAATAATTATTCAGTCTTCCTAAAGATTAGTAGGAATTATAATGTACATTCAAATGGTTGAAACAAAAAAGTCTATTAGTTATTTAACAGTTCGAGGCCAAAGTTAGATTAGGTTTGCTACTGTAAAATGCATCTTTGCTAATATTTCTTCCTTTATTTAAGTTTTTTGTTTTCTTTTTAGCAGCAGCACTTGATACATATATCATTCGTTGGAGTGTGCAGACATTCCACACAAGCATACTAGGAGAATAAACATTGAACATAAATTAACATCTAATAAAACATATTGCATAAAAACATTGAAAGATTATTAACATATGAACATTGAAAACGTTAGAACATAGAAAAAGTATCAAAAACATAAACAAAAAGTTATTAGAAACTCATTCAGTTTGCAGGCTTGTAATAGCTCACAAGCCCTCCAATATCTGTCATATATGTTTTCTACCACAGTTCAACAAATCCCCAGGGGTTCAGCATTCATCTGGGCATCCTCATTGCACAGAATACAATTTGGGTAAGGATGGTACTTGAGCCTGTAGAGGGGAAGTGTAAGACAGTCATGCCCAGTTGCCACCGGACAGCAACCACATTCTCTTTGGGGTGATCTAGGATCCTGTATAGAGTCTGTCTCCATGCCTTATCACCAATTTGTTCATTTAAATGATTCTCATACTTTTTATTGACATTATTTTTAATCATTCTGTTTATAGAAGAATAAGGTATTTCTCCCTGGAAGCACTGCGAGATTCTAACTCCTTTTTTAGCTCGGACATCAGCCATCTCATTTCCATATATATTACAATGAGAGGGCACCCACTGCAATATAGTATTCTTTTTTAGATTAAGACCTAAAATTCTCTTTACATCTTTTAATTCTATGTGAATCTGTGAATTCTAAAGATGTAACCGCTTGAATTGATGGTGTCAACTAACAGGACTCAAAGTCTTCCACTCTTGGCAAAAGTTGTTGAGTTGTTGTTCTAATAGCCTCAACTTCACCTTCAAATGGAGTTATGTTTTATCCCAAGCTCAAATAAAAAGAAAATAGCTCTGAAAAAATTCCGGCTCCCGCATTTCCATTCTTTATTTAAGTTGAGTGCTGTTTTTAGATTCACCATTATTATCCTCTTACTAAAATCTATACATTTATTAGGAACAGCTTCTATAATTATAACAGCTTTTATTCTAGAAATTTAAGTTTTACGTAGCAATGAATTGACTTTGAAAAATTAGTTGAAGAATTTAGTTATAAGTTTTATAGAAAAGCTATAAAAATAACTGTCTTATTTTGTGAAAAACTGTAATGTAAACTCCAAAAAAATGGCAAAGAAAGAATCTGCCACCTAAATTCTAAAATAAACAGTCAGCTTATTTTGTCATGATGATGGTAATGAGACAGCTTATGGTTTAGTTATACCCAAAACAGCCTATACTGTGCAACACATAAAAAAAATTTGAAAGAATTACACAACCTAACTTCATTGGTTATTGTTAATAATAACCCGTAAATGAGATAAATTCGCTTAAATTAATCACTTTCACCAGCTTCTTTGGTTATTATTAATAATAACCAATTAATCACATAAATCATGACATATATATATATAGATAAGCACACACATGTACACTCACACTTATATGTGTATATTATTTAATTGAATTCATAAAATTCTAATGTTTTATTTTATAGGCTGCTCTGTCTGGATTTGAATGGCAACCTTTCCCTAGATCAAGTGAACGTAGCATTGCAGTCCGTGATGTAAAGCCTGATTACAGTCAGATTTGTATGATGAAAGAGACTGTTTGTTAGCTTAATTTGATCACATGTTTGATGTTTACATGCTTTAAATTAAGTTCAACATTATGCAAATTTAGATATATGTTTTGGAATATTTTTCTATATCCTTCAATATCAATATAATTTTTTTTTCAATATCCTTCCATCCCTAATATAGTTATTTATTTTGAATTGCTAATTTAGATGTGTTATGTTTTTGTTTACATGTTTAAAGAAGAAGTAAAAGTAACGGCCTAAAGAATAGATGATTTTTAATTTTTTATGGTGTAATTTAAACTAAAATTTAACAATGGAAGATTTAAATGACTCTAATTTTTTTTTTCTTTTAAAAGATTTTTGCATTGACCTACATTATGAATGCATTAACTGAAAACCCATAATTGGTGGGAAAGATACACATTTAATTTTTTTTAAAAGCCTCAAAATGAAAAATGTTTTTTTTTTATGTATAAAATGTTATGAAACTAAAACTGTTATAAAGCAATAAATTTTTAAAGAAAGAAGAAGTAAATTAAAATTTGATAGAAAGAAAAATAAGATTGTGACTTTAAAAAGAAATTCTTCTCTTTTTTGCTAATTCATTGATGACAGTCTTTTATTACCTACATTTGAAATAAAAAAATAGGTCCATTTAATTAATAGTTTAATTAGTATCATTATATTGAAATATTTTTATTGGAATAAAACACATTTAGAGTTATTCACATTGATTTATTAGTGTACACCTTTTTGTTTGTTTGACATAATTTATTATTTTTTGGAATATCACTATAATATTTTGTATTTATATCCTTCTGTAATTGTTGAACTATTGAGTTCATTAATAAAAAATACTTTTTATTTTACTTATATCCCTTTAGGCAGTATCAGGATTGATTGGATTATGTGGTTTATTGTATTTCAAAATTCAAATACATAAATACTTTAAGTTTATAAAAGTAACCAAATGAAAAAAAAATTTTTTTTTCCAAGAACATCTTTTCAAATTTGAATTCTATGTGAACTAATGTGAGACTGTGTTACTTTAAACCTGTACGTCGGAGGTAAATGATACTGTGTTATAAAAATGTAATTCTTAAGAAGAGGAGAGTGTAATATCTTTTACCTCTAGAGGAAGTTGGACATGGTGTTTTTTCAATCTACCTACCTTTGTCATTTATTATGACAGGATATAGTGACTTATACCACAAGATGAAGTGAAAAATCTAAAAATGGCCTGTAAAACCAGTGTCTATCATTCCTCCTTTAAATAAAGAAAAATGTAATGACAATCGTCTTAATCTTAAAAATGGTTGTTTATATACAGACTTTTATCAAAATTAGCTGACATGCAAAATCTTTCAAGTGTTTGTGCAGCAATTACATCAATATATCACCTAAAAGTTGTAAATGATAAATATTGAAACGAAGCCATAGAGAGCAATTAGGAAAGCCATACAGAGTTTAGTACATGAATTTATTCAAGTTGATTAAACTTTATAAGAAGAACAAACTGTGATATTTTATGCTTCTTAAATTTTTCTGCTATTGCAGTTATAGTAATGATTTTGTAATTTAATTATAGTTGTAATATATGTATAATATATATTATATGTATTTAAATGTTAATATTGAGTTACATTTGTAATTTAAGTGTTTTTTTCTTTTTTAAAATCCACCTTTCTTAACCAGAAATTTGAAAAAGCACCTAATCTGTTTTGCTTTAGCCAGCAACGCCAAAATCCTATGCATGGTTGTAATTTTTTTAAAAACAGAACAAACCAATAGTAGTTTGAGATATTTGCTAAAAAGAACTTGTAAATGAAATATTCATAATAGAATTTGTAACTTTGAATTGTTTCCAAAAAACTTTTTAAACTGACTTTAAAAAAAATTTCTCGCAAAATCGCATGTGTTTATTATGTACTATGATTTTTAATCTAGCATGTACTATGATTTAAAAAAAAAGAGACATATTATAGTTTAATCAACCTTTGTTTTTTCTTTAAATACAGCTAGATTTCTATTCTTGGAAGATAATCTAATTAATAATTTCTGAAAGAATTCTTAAATTTTTAAAAACCTACTGCAGAGTTTTGTACAAAAATTGCGGACAGAGTGCATTCATTATTAATTGAAAATATTTTAAATTAAAATCTATTTTTATCGTACGAAAATTGCATGTGATTCCATGCAATTACAAAAGATTAAATACTGCAGGTAAAATTAAACAGTCATAAAATTGGTAAATGATATACTTATTCTCGTCATAATGTTGTCTAATTTTTCTTCTTACTTACTTGTGAATCATTTAATATTAAATTTTTTAGATATAGTTTTATGTTTGATCTATGATTATCTGTTGCATTTATATTTATATATTATGTTTTAATTATTTTTTATTGTATTAAATGCTTGTTGTATAAATGTATACCTATCTATACTAACATTTGTAAATTGTGTTGAATAAAATTTGGAATTTTTATATGGGAAAGCGGATTTAAAAATGGTATATTGTCAATTGGGGTTACTTTGGCTAAGTTTCAAACTTCTTGTAAAAAATTTTGTGTTTTTCTCTATCAGTTAGAGAGGCATATACCTACCAAGTCTCCTGTTTTTAACGAAGACTCCNTGATTTTTAAAAAAAATTTCTCGCAAAATCGCACTTGTTTAATACTATGATTTAAAAAAAAGAAGAAAAAAAACGACTTATAACGTTTATACAAACGACTTAAAGCAAACGATATAAACATTTAATCAACCTTAATTTTTTTTTTCGGAAATACAGCTAGATTTCTATTCTTGAAAGATGATCTAAAGGTGAATTAATAATTTCTCAAAGAATTCTTAAATTTTTAAGAACCTACTGCAGAGGTTTGTTACAAAAATTGCGGACAAAGTGCATTCATTGTTAATTGAAAATATTTTAAATTAAAATCTATTTTTATCATAAGAAAATCGCATGTGATTTCATGCTGTTACAAAACATTAAATAATGCAGGTGAAATGAAACAGTCATAAAATTGGTAAATGATATACTTATTCTCTTCATAATGTTTTCTAATTTTTCTTCTTACTTACTTGTGAATCATTTAATATTAAATATTTTAGATATAGTTTTTTGTTTGATCTATGATTATCTGTTGCATTTATATTTATATATTATGTTTTAATTATTTTTTATTGTATTAAACGCTTGTTCTATAAATGTATTCTTATCTATACTAGCATTTGTAAATTGTTTTGAATAAAATTTGAAATTTTTATAATCGAAAGCGGATTTACAAACGGTATATTGTCAATTGGGGTTACTTTGTCTAAGTTTCAAACTTCTTGTATAAAAATTTGTATTTTTCTCTATCAGTTAGAGAGGCATATACCTACCAAGTCTCCTGTTTTTTTAACAAAGACTCCTGTAGTTTAGGACTATCTCCTGTTTCCCCCTATATTCTCAAATTTCTCTGTATTTGAAGACATTTTTGGTGATAAATTTTGGCTAATGGCAAAAAATACTTCTCTTTTTCCTCAACAGATGGTGCTATTGCCAGTACTGCAGTATGTTGAGTGCTTATAGTTTAAGTAATTAAAAATAATAGTTGAAAAAAATCTTTAGATTAAGATTTATATTCATATTTTATACTTAGCTAAATGTAAGTGCTTATATTATTTTCAATTTCTCTTTTCGACTTACAAACATGATGTATCAAATTACTCGTAGCCCAAAAAAATGTCTCTAATAAAATCTCCGTTATTTTATTTCTCCATTGTTGTCAGGTATGGAGAGGGGAGAATAATTTCTAGACTTGGTGCTCCGTTTGTAGAATTGACATATATAATAGACATTTAACAAGCTCTCAAAGACCAGTAGATAATTTTTCTCTTCTGCTCAAGCTTTTTTCAGAAACTATTCAAATTAACCCTTGTTAATAATAATGTTATTGCAATGAAAAATAGACCTAGAAGTTTATGCACAAATTGTTAACTGTCTTTTATACTAGACACCAATATTTGTTCATTTTTGAGGACAAGCTTTAAGGTCCAGTTTTTATGAATAAAAATTGTTGAACAATCTGTGTCATGATTTAATTTCTCAAACGTATGTAACTTGGCGATTTTTTTTCTTCGAATTTTGTTAGAAAATTGTAAGATTCATTAAATTTTGATGGTATTTTTTTGTTTTGTTTTTTTATTACTTAAGTAGTAATCTGTGGCCTGTTATGTGTGGGTTTTTTAATTATTCCGAAACTTTTTATTAAAATTAGAACACTTTTTTTTTTAAGGAGGGTAGCATTTCTCACATAGTTGTGCTTAAAACTTTGCAATACGAAAGCTTAGTTTAAAACAAAACAATTTTTCAGGTGCTTTCGCCTGCTTTTATTAATTTTTGTTTTTAATCAAAATGTATCAATGACATTAAAGTTGTAAAAGATTTTAAATTAACTTTCCGTTTTCAAACATTTTAAATACAGTAAAACTTTAAACTGAAAAAAAAAATTTTTGCAAATTGAAAATCTTACTTCGTAATAAAAAAGTTTCCTTATATAATAAGTTTCTGTAGATGCAATCAGGTGGTAGAACGAGGTCAAATTAATTTCAATAAGACAACTTCTTCAGCGAAATATTTAGTTGTGGAATAACAATGCATTAAAATTTCAATAAAGTAAACCTTAATCTACCTTGGGTATGTTAACAACCTTGGGTATGTTAACAACGCGTAATTTTTACAGATATCATTTTGGAAAGTATTTCAATAGAGCTCAGAGTATAGAGCGTTCGCCTTCCAATAAGGTGAACTGAGAAATCCCAATGATGGCTGGTTGATTCGAATTCCGCACCCGGTTTGCACCGACCACAATGCTGACATAAAATATCCTCAGTGGTAGACGATTCATGAGTTAGAGTCCCCTTGCCGTCAGACTGTCCGTGGGTGGTTTTCTTCTTCATGTAACGCAAATGCGGATTAGTTCCATCAAAAAGACTTCCACCAAGGCAAATTTCTCCTAATTCTTGATCCAGAAGTTCATTTGTTTTCTGGATTGAGCTCAAAATTACTACGCTACGGAGTTGAACATCAGTAGTCGTAAACCCAAAATCGGGTCGACTGTTCAACGATGATCAATTTGTCTCTAATTTCACGTTATGTTCATTTACAATTTTAATTGTCACCAACAAACCAAAATGAAACAATTTAAGGGAAAAATTCTATATAACATAAAATAACATGATAAAACAATGAAAAAATTTCACTCTTATTTTATTTTATGACCGACGTTGAACCGTCCACCCGACTCTGAATTTACAACTATCAATGTTTGATTCCGTTGCCTGGTAAATTTGAACCCAACCTAGAAGACGAGAACTTACGGATCAAGCATTGGGACAAACTAGACTTCGTTGGGGACTTTTTGATTGGACCATCCTCCCACGGTTAGATTGACAGTAAAAAGTTTCTAACACATGAGCCATCTACCACTGAAGATATTTTACGTC